CCAAACGCGTGGGGCTCCGCGCCGCTCCGCGCCCGCGGGTGCTGCCGCGCAGGCAGTCCCGGGATAACCTGGGAGTCTCCTGCAGGGTACCGGGACCAACCGCCCCCCTCGCCCTCCCCTCGGACCGGCAGCCGCGGGCGGCGCGGGCGCTCCGGTGGCGAGCGGTCGTTAGGAAGGGCTTTTCGGGATGGAAGCAGCCGAGGAAAATATTTGCAGTTGGGGTTTAAAGTTAATAGAATTCTGAATCAATCTGAACGGCGTCCTGTGCCGAGGCACTTTAGACTACACTTGAAAATAATTACTGCAGAAGTCACTGTACTAAATACTTATGTATGTATATATTTATACATTTTCCTCTATCAACTCTGAATATCCCACTACTGACCTACAGAACGATCCAGCAGACGCTGATCCCCAGGAATGAATTTTTCCCAGTGCGGGTATTTCTGGGCGTGGGGCAGCTCCCTCGCCCACAACGTGCTCCACGGGGTGCTGGGCCCGGGTGAGCAAGTACCGCGTTATGCCGAGTGGATCGGCGGAGTACAACTTGATGCATGCAGTTGCTTCTGCGTATGGTTTTGCCAGCCGCCTAGCTCCATTTTGTTCTCTAAAATAATTTTTTTAAACCTCATTACACAAAATTACCTAGTAGTTTTCAGGCACAAGCTTATCAGCCACATCTGGAAAACAAAGATCGGTGCTTTGCTCTTTGTAAAACCTGGTTCCCTAAAAACACACCAGCATTTTTTCTCTACCCCCCCTGAGATTAATGAAACGTCCTTTACTATACATAGATTATCTATCTTCATTTGCAAAATTCAACTATCGACAATGTTACTCCCATGAACACACCTTCTTACGTCATCCAGTTACTATATTTAAAACCACCTACAGTAAAACAATTATGTGAACAGAGCAAACAACTAGAAGGTCATACTTAGTGCCATCAGATACATCTGTTTAGTTGCCTTGCTGAAAGAGGGGTGGGCCTCAGGAGAAATGGGGACTACCACCACCAAATCTTGGTCTTTGAGCAAGTTATTGGCACTTCCAGTCCATTCTTAAATGTCACAACTTTGGGGTACACAGAACCCAAGAGCTCTGGAGTCAGCGATGACTCTTACTCACTTCTCCAAGTGTTTCAGGCCAAGGCAGTTTTAAAAGGTCTTAAGACTTGGCTCACCAATGTCCAGATTCTTCTGAAGCAAAGACTATAATAATTCCTCATATCTTTTATTTGTATTGTTTCCATGTAATATACATTATTCAAATATATTTTAACTGTGGCATTTACAAGGCATAAAGGACTTAATAAAGCAGAATTCAGACTGAAAATTATAAAAACATAGCTTTTATATGGTCGCAGGTATGAAGAGAATGCAGAAATGCCAGTATCTGCCACCTCATGCAGCAAGGCTCCAGGCTTTGCTTTCCTCTGGGTCCCAGCCCGGGGGGAAGGGAACCTATCTCAGGCTCCAAACACAAAGGAAAACACAAACAAGATAAAAATTACTGGTAGAGATATACAAAAGGCTACACTCTTTCTGAAAGGTGAGTGACATTAGTGTGGGGAAAGGGGAGTGGTAAATATGCCAAAGCATCCACCACCAAGGCAGTCATTGCTGTGTAAATGCTGTTGTCCAGCAGCGCATGCCCATCCCTGTCCCAAACACAGACCAGGATGTGTTCAGCGAGGTTAAACTCTAACAGGCATCGGCCACCGTGCTGGGGCACAGGAACTGCTGCCCTCCTGGCACACAGACCCCGTGCCTCTGTCTCTTTAGGCTGAACAAAGCATGAGGTAGTTGAAAAGGTGGAACACACTCAGCTAATTCACAAACTCCCAGTTAACTCATGACGGAATAAAGCATTAGCTCCTTGTATTACACGTTATCCAAGTGTGAAAGTGTC